TATTTGTTGTTTGGTTGTTTTTTTTTTTTCACTAGTTTGATTATCACCCTCTGTCTAGAAAACAACTTCATTGAGCCAAGATTTTAGATATTTTTCATGATGAGTCTCTGTCACCTACAGTCCTCGTCTCTCAGTAGGTGCTCAACAACATTTCCTGGAGGAATTGATGAATGAAAAGATGTACGTTACCCACTATCACAACCTTCCAAAGATGTCCAGTCACATTCTGAATGCAATAAATAAGTGAAAAGTGTGACATATCCATAAGAGCGTGGAGGATGAACAGGAATGAATGAGTGGAAAAGGGGAGGGAAGAGCATTAGAGGAGGAACAGCCCATGCGGAGACCCGGAGGCACAAGTAACCTTGTTCTGACTGACGACGATCAAAAGTCCAGGGTGGATGGAGCACACTGGGAGGTGGGGGGATTGGAGTAAGCGGAGTGGATAGTGGAACTGGGTGAGGCAAGCGAGGCACTCGCCCAAAATGCAAATTTAAAAGGGGAGCTGAAAACCTCTGTAATTGAGATAAATAATGTTTTCATGCAAGATATTTTGAATCAATTAAATGCAAAAAAACACCATGGAGAAGGGAAAATCAAAAATTTATATAACCCAGGATTAGTAAGAATGCCTTTCTGAACCTACTGGAGCCTCAGACAGAAGAAAAATGTGTCCCTCTCTACATAGGTTTTTAAGGATTTTAGTGGTCAATTTTTTCCAGAACATTAAAATAATTGAAATATTATTAAAAACCTGAAATGCACAGTGTATTTGAACATTAAGTTTAAAGGTTTTATGGCTACCCAAATCAGAATTTGTTATAATTTTGGTTTCCTGGCCTTACTGGAAACAAATGCAGAGAGAATATTTTCAAAATTTGTTTCTCTGAGTTTTCAGCTGAGTATACTGCCATGTGTGACAATTTCTCTTGACCAAGTTATGATCTTAAATTATTATTAACTAACTTCAGTCTACTGATCCTACCATTGTTCAGATTTTTTATATTTTGGTCCTCATGAAATTTTTCCATTAATTTTGATTGTTTATAAACAGTGCATTGAAGTATTATCTCAATTGCTGAGATTTTTGGCACCTTTCTAAGTTATGCACTTGGGGCGAGTGCGTCACCCTCCTCACCCTAACCCTGGCCCCTCTGGAGAGGTAGGTGCTGAGAGGCCAGAATATGCAGGGCTGCAGGCTGAGGAGTGTGAGCTTCATTCTCTAGGTCAGGGGTCAGCAAACTACAGCCCATGAGTCAAATCCGGCCCCGTACCTGTGTTTCTAATAAAGTTTTACTGGAACACAGCTATGCTCAATCATTTACATATGGTCCAAGGCTGCTTTCACGCTGCAAGAGCAAAGTTTTGTGGCTGCAACACAGACTGTATGGCCCACAAAGCCAAAAACATTTACTCTCTGGCCCTTGAAAGAAAAACTCTGCTGGCCTCTGCTCTAGGTGATGGGGGCAAACAGATGTTCAAATACAGAGGAATTGCACAATGATGATTTTTAGATGATCACTCTGTGTAGAGCAAGGAAGATGAGGAGCAGCGAGATTGTGGGTCCAGGAAAGAGCTCCTGAAGCCTCAGCAATGATAGGGGTCAAAAAGGAGGGAGGGAGACTGATGCTACCTGTTCTTAAGGGGAAACACGGAAAAGACGTGGTGAGTTTTTGGCTGTAGCAGAGGAAAGGAAGGACAGACAGATGGTGAATCCTCTGGTCCTGGCCTGAAGGAAAGAGGAGGGGGCTCTCCTGCTGTCAGTGAGTTGGGGATCTGACCCTGGGGGAGGAGGAGGAGATGAGGAGAACAACTTTGGCCATGCTGAGCAGAGCGATTCAGGGAGCCATCCTGGCTGAGGCGTCCAGGCAAGACACTGGATGGCGAGATGCACAGGTCACTCACTGAGAGACTTACCTTGTGACTGCATTTGCACCCTCCATGCTTGTGTCCTCCATGCCCACCGCTGGCCTTGCTGCTTTCTTCCTGCGGGACCTCACTCTGAGTGAAGAGACCAGAGAGAATTTCAGTCTGGCCTGCTCAGGGTGCAGTGGGCAGACTGACCCCTCCTCTGCTCTCTCCTAAGGGGCTGGAGGGGACACTGAGATGGGAGAGGGGTGGTCCTGTCCCAGAGACCCCAGGGTTGAAAACAGGCTCCTCCCTCCTGGACAGTGGGGCCACAGGTTTGTGACAGATTCACCCAGTTGCCAGAGGTCTCCTTCCTGCCCTTGCTTCAGACTCTGGACCCACACAGTCCTGCCAGCTCTGGCTTCAGGGATCCGTGGCTGCCTGCCTTTCCCACCCCAGGGCTCTCCCTCCCTCACCAGGTCCCTCCTCACATGATGACGATGATGCAGAAGGACAGAAAGAGCAGAGTCTTAGCACCTGCTCCCCAGACTGCACCCAGCGCCACTCCTGATAAAGGACACGCTTTTCCTGCAGAGGATTGGATTATTGGTGGTTCTCCTCTGAGAGCTCAATTTTTTCTCCTCCCACTCCCGGTAGGATGCCACACTTTTGTGTTCAGGCCACTTTGCCAGATACAGAATCAGGGACATGGGGATGGGAGTGGGGGAGGGGGCGGGGTTAGGGTGAGGAGAGTGAGGCATACAAGTGCTGGGTTGCAGCCTGCTTTTATTTAAGACATTGATATTTTGTTCTTCATGGCATTTATTTTATGTTTATTTTTTAAAAAATATTGCATTTCACTGTTATTTCTTTTGATTACTAAGATTTTTTTGACTTATCTTTAAGTTTTGTGACCATGGTAAGTACTACACTAGCCTGACCCTCCTCCCAGCCACAAAAAGCAAGGACCTTATGTCTCCAGACACACCTGTGCAGACCCCAGCCCCTCTCCTCCAAGAACCACCTCCTTCCCTGGCTCCCCCTCCAGCCCTTGCCCCACCCCACAGCCCGGGCCTGGCAGGAAGACGACAGTGACCCTCTGTGTCCCAGGGAATTTCCAAGCCTCACAACCCAACACAGACCAGAGCTGAGCTCCCCTCTGAAGCTCAGGGGGCTACTGGGTGGACTGCGCAGTGGGATTGGTGCTGTCCTCCTCCTCCAGCCCCTCGCTCATCCACCGGTGCACTCACTCTGCAGAGAGAGGCTCAGGGAGACGTGCAGGGAGCCCCGAGGGTGCTCCGCTTGGCAGGTGAATTCACCTTCATGCCCCGACTCCATCCGGGGCATCTCCAGGACCCCAGGGTTTGAGGGTTGTGAGGGGCTCAGGGTCTGCCTCCCATGGGCCCAGCTCAGCCTGGCTGGGGGGTTGCTGTCGACAACACAGACCAGGCGCAGGGACTGGCCCTCCAGGACTGCAAGAGATGACCTGTTCTTCAGGACTATGGGTGCTGGAGAAGAAGAGACAGAGGGTCAGAGAGACAAAGAGATTCAAAGAGGAAGGATGCAGAAGGAGGCTGGATGACGCCAGACACACAAGCATAAGTTGAAGTGCAGGACAATGCACACTTTCAACTCTCACTGGTGGGAATGTAAACTTGTCCACTCTCCATGTAGAACAACTTGGCATTATCT